AAACAAAACAAAAAAAACCCAAAACCCACCCCAAATAGACAAAAAAATCCCCCACAAAACCAAACAAAAAACCCTCCCCAAAAAACAAAAAAACAAGAACACCCCAAAACAACCAAAAAAAAAAAAAACCCAAAAAACCCCAAAACACACACAAACCCAACCAACCAACCAAAAAACAACCCAAATCCCACAAACAAAATAAAGAAAGGGAGGGGCAGAAATTATCAACTGATATTGGAGCACTTCTGCACAAGCCAAAGCTAAGATACATTAGCACATCTGAAATCTAGCAGCCACTCTTGCAACAGAAAACTTATTAAGCAATCAGATCAAAACTAAAATCTAATGCCAGGTGGAAAAAAAGAACAAACCTCAATCATGCACAGAACAGTTCTTTTGACTGCAAAACCAGCTTATAGACTTGTGGTCAGTTTCTTTAAAGCTGAATTTGTGTACTGAGAGATCAAAATGATGAAACAACTAACAAACCAGGCATTTTTTCCACTCACTTACAGAGAAATTTCTACTCTGGCAGCCAGAATTTTAGTTCAGCTCAAGCATGGGAGCAAAATCAGCTTACAGTATGAACATGTAAAACAAAAGCAAGAGTATTTCTCCACACTACTCCTACAAGTTCTGCTTTATCACACTTACGTAGTTTCTCTCTACTACATGCATCTTATCTCAGTTGATGCATAAGCATTTAAAGCAACTGTCAAGGACACACTGACCTCAGCAACAGTGCTTCCTCATGCTGAAATAAGAGACAAAGTCACCTTAAGTACAGAGATTCTAGATTCCTTCTGAGCCTGGAGCACAGAAGCTAGATCAGAACCCAAAGCCATGGTATACATTCCATTAGTTCAGGAGAAGTATGACTTTTCCAGGTATGTGCAGCCTCATCGCAGCCTGTTAAGTAGAAGGATATTTTAATAGCAGGTTACCCACACATAAGGTGGGTAACAGGCTTGCTAGCTACTTGCATGATAGAACAGAAGTAGAAATATACTTAGCCTCTCTCTGCAACAGTGCAAGAATACATCTTGTAAGCTACTTGGGGTGGGGGTCTAGATACTGCAACAGAAGTATGCTGAAGAGTTTAAAGGATACTTGTGGTATACCAGTCTCTTATGCTAGTCTTAAGCAAGAACGTATCTGTGCCAAGAGGCACTACTGCTAGCACTGCTTCTTACAGTCAGACTTTTCTCTGGTTATAGCAATGCAGCCAGTCCAACTGTCACATCTCTGACCAGGTGATTAACCCTGGGCAACAGTTCTCCCCGTAATTATTTAGCAAGAGACTCCATCTTAAATTCACAGACATACATTTGTCTTAATCCAAACTATTTTAAAGCTGTTTTAATCCAAAATATTTTTAGAAGTCAGAGCTACATAAAAAGAAACTGGATTAAACCAAATGATGTCCACTTCAACTAAGAATAAAATGCATTATGAAGGTGTGTTTATCTTTACAAGGCACTTCTGCAAGGGAGAACCATGCAGCACAAAGCCCATGAAGAACTCCTGCAGTAGAAAGATACGCAGCTATCTCCTCCTCACACTCTCAATGCCTCAACCAGATACATAAGTTTTCCCAACTCAGCTTCTTCTAAATTGTAACATTTATGTGCAGTTTTCATCCAGGCTACATCAAGTTAATGTCTTCAGTTAAGCAACATTTTTCACCTTAAATCCACACAAATTCAGTAATGACACAGCCATAATAAAGATCAGCTTACAGGAAGCTTAAGTCATCTTTCAATCAAGCCACTGAACAAGCACACGCTGGTATTTATTCAACACTATTTGAACTGTGCTTAAAGGATGCCACACAAGGTATGCAGGCTAAAGTTACCATACTACTTTGTGGAAAGCACTTCTATTCTCTGATCATTGCCTGATTCATGATTCTACTCAGCCAGTTTTCCTACAGTCATTTGTCCCCCACATCACAATTAACTGCGATATACACAGGATTTACTGTGCATGCACTTTTAACTATTTTTGTACTTAGGCCTCAAAATACCTTACAAAACTGATGAACAGAACTGAGTAAGTTTATGAACTGTTCTATCAGCAGCTCTTGTATCACACAAGATTAAACACAGGTTAAATTAAACACAACCAAACTACCTGTGTTAACCAGAGAATGCTTTTCTGACAGAATTCAATTCATTTAGAGCTTAATTACTGCCAAGTTTTCTAGAAGTTTATTAATACTGTGGCTTATACTGTCACTTTTTATAGAGACATGCACAAAAAAGAACAGTGAAGACTATCTCTATTGTGTTAGGCAGCTTTTCACTAGAGGTGATATTAGCAACCTTCTGCATTCACCTTCGTAGACTCTTCACAGGGCAAGACTCATGATAGCAGATATTGACAAAACACCGAATTGTGTGTCAGTGTTCATTCTGTGATCCCCACATAGGATTTACTGCACTTTACCAGAAAGTCCACTCAGAAGCCATTACTATTATTAGCATTAATTTTAAAGCCTGCACTGACTGCTGTGGTACCCAAACAATTCACAGATCCACTTCTTTCACACACACAAGTTTACAGAAGTATGCAGGTCAGTGCATGTGGATGGAACCAAATGGAGTTTGTGTTACTCAAAACATGTAAGCTATCAATTTTAGCAGAATGCTCAGCTTCCATATGGAATAGAAGTCTCAATCTAGCTTCCCTATTTGAGCTTGCAGATTACAGCTTTCCTTGTCAGATGCAAACATAAGGAGTTGGGCTAGTATCTAAAGAGGATTACTTAATCAGATTTGATCACACCCAAACAGTAAGAACTAGACTATTTCCCTATAAGTCAGTACTGAAACAGCATTAACCACAAGGAACTTTTCTGCAATTCCTTATTGCATTCCTTTACAACATGTTTAAATCTAGCAGTGAGTTGAGTGGGTCTGACAGAACCTCCTTCATACTTCAAGCACACTGGAATATGCAGTAGGCAGTACAGTTCTACAGAAGCCTCAGTAACTTTCATTTTGTATGCTTTTTGAAGTTTTCAGATCTTCACTGCAATTTGAAGACTTAGCCTGATGAAAGTTTCCAGTTTCATTAGTGAAAAATTGATTAGGTTTTGCAAACAAACTAAAGCTTGCCTGTCAACTAAATCAAGATTTTAAAAAAGTTTTTGATGACAAAAGGGCATAGGTGGAATATTTAATATATTTACAGGGAAAGCGATATGCTGCTTCCTAGAAAAAGCTGTCTTGACTAAATAATAATAACCAATAATGCTACTACCTGACAGCAAGAAGTTTTACAAACAGCAACCAAGAGAAAACAAGCAGTCTTTGTTGCTGTATCTTCCAGATTAAATCAACTTAATGAAATTAGTTAAAAGATAGAGTAACATAAAACTTTGAATAACTTGATGTGTACAAAATCTTCTTAAACAGCTTTTAAATAAACTCAGTCTCTTTATCTGAAAGATATGCTTCGGTTGCCTGGTATAGCTCTTGCTTGGAGATTAAACTGCTTTATTATAAGGTATAATTTTATGCTTAAATTTACTTGGCAATATAATGATCCACTTTGATCATAAAGAAAAATGGTTGTCACTCCTGCATGCAGGTTTCTAGTGCCTTGAACCATGCGCCAGTTGCACATACTTAGTACATGAAGGCAGTATCTGCTGGTCACTGTCTGGAAAAGGGACACAAGTTTTAGAATTGGATTGGGTGATGGAGAATAGTCTGTAGAACAGACTATGCAAAGCCTGCTACTTTTGGCAAAAATCAGACCAACATCAGTATTAGATGGAAGTTTTAAAATTAAAAGGAGTTGGAAAACAATGTGACAGCATAGGGAGGTGTCTAAATGAAAGTTCCTTTTTCTATCTACTGTAGAAAAATAGCCATTAAAGTTTCCTCAGTTACCCTACAACTTAAGTTACCAGTCTAGATAAAGTATGCTGAAATTTCTAAGAGAAAAACATTAGCAGAGGCATGTGATGGCTTCCAATTTACAAGAAGTTTTTAACTTTTGAGTGTCTCGCACCATGGTCAACTTTTCTCTTTCAAGCTGTTGACACTCAAGTTCTTGCAGGTTTTCATATGCCTTTAAGAGATATACCACTTGCTTTGTAACACATTGAGTATTCCAAATAGATATGCTTGTCTAAGTCAGGATAGATGACTAAGGCATAAACAGGTTTAATCCAAATACAGCAATTCTGAAGCCAGATACACAGCCTCCACATTGTAATACCTTATCTAGCTACACACACAGCCCCGTATCTATTTAAATACCATGTTTGCCACAGCCACTTCTGGTGGCTGTTAGAACTTCATTCAAAAGCATCTCAACTGCCCCTCAGAATCTTTAAAATTTGAGGCCACATACACAACTTGAATACAGTTACAGCATGAGTTTTACTATGTGTTGTTTAAAAGTGAATTGCTATCTCTTAAAACGCATGACGATGGAATTAGTCACTGCATATCCCTCGTTTCGTTTGAGTAATTTGTATTACTGTTGCTTAAGGGAGTGGTCATGATGTATGGCTTCAGCAACCATGTTTTTATCTTAATTCTGCTAGAAGACAGCCTAACCCATTACTTCCCTAAAGGCACATGGGTGGGGGGTGGGGAGAAGTTTAAAAAAGATTCTGGTTTACTGGAAATAATGACATCCACCTATGTTTCTTCATACTAGTTCATGGCCTTATGGAAGAAAAACAGGCTGAATAGTCACATGGTTAGGAACCAAAGTATTAGAAAGGGTTTATGAACAGTAGCTCAATTCTTTGATATATGAGGGAGTTTTCTGTTATGGACAAGAATCACAGGACTATCAGGAAGTTCTGTAGTTAAGAGAATATTTTCAGTAGTTATTCTAACATTCTGCTCTAGGATTTTCCTTGCATCAGCAGTTGACAAAATTAAAAAAAAATGTCTAAACATGTAAGAACAAAACAAAAAAACCAAAGAAGAATGTCATGCAAAGAAACATGTATAGGTTAGTATCAAGTCACTTACCCTTAAATTTTGACCGAATGTTTGCTAGTTCTTTATTTATCCTCTTTATCTCCGCTTCTTTACTTTTGCCTGAAATCAAAAGAACACATGTCAAAATACAATGCTTTGGACAACCCTTGGACACCCTAAGCTTCTTTCCACCCAACCATGCTATGTGAACATACAAACATCAGGAGGAATTATTACTCCCCCTTTCCAGTATTAGAACTGAATGAAGGCAAACATCACAGAGGTAACTTCAGCATCACTTCACAGGGGAATTTGAGAAGCTAGAAGGACCTCGTGTTTCAAGAAGCTTTGTAGACTTTAGACAGTACAAGCTGCATACAATTAAACCAAGATGCCTTTATTACTAACTTTCATAAACACTTCAGTTTTTCTATAACAGCTTCTGTATTGTATGCTCATTCAGTTCAATGAGCTTTAAAAAAAAATTCTTAGCAGACACAGAAGATAAAAAGCAGTAAACTTATAAGTAGCTCAAAGACTTCAAAAACCTCAGATAGGATACATGCAAAAGTGCAGACTTTCAATATGCCCCATGAAAGTCACTTGAAAAAAAACAGAAATATTTTAAATCCACATTTTATTAGGCAACATTACCACCTTAGATTTCTCAGCACAGTCTATATTTTGTATCAACTTTTGATTCCAAGAATAGGTATTAGGATTTCTAGTGCCAATTCAAATTAAGTATTTGGAGAAATCAAATTAAGTATTTGGAGAAATCATCTTATTATACTTAACCACTTTAGTTTTTGCTGAGAGAGATTCTACAGAGATGTGGGTCCATTATCCCCTACATAAATGAGCATGGTAGGCTAAAATAACCAATTCAGGCATTGTACTCGGTTGCTTGAAGCAAACAAAGTCCACTTCGGCAATGCAGAACTGGCCACCTAGTCATGTTGCAAATTCAGAACTGTACCTTCTGAAACTTTCAAGCAGTTTTCAAAACATCAACTACCAGCAGAAAAAGACAGCTTCCTTTACTCTTCAGCACATATATTTGGCTATGAGGTTATGAAACAAGTTTCCTGACCCTGTTAGAAAAAGATCCAACCTTAAGAGTAGTGAGGATCACATGCCCTGCTTTCATAGCCCACTTTCCCCCACACCACTCCCATCAGGGACTACAGCCATGTCAGTGCAAGGAGGCTATGTGACAAAGCTTGAAGAGCGGATCAGGACCAGCATTCCAAAGCACTTCCAATCTCACCCTTTGCACATAAGCAACAGTATTTAAACATCCTACTACATTTGCATGTCCAAACTCCTGTGTCACCCAATAACTGTTGATCACCCCTTTACCACATTCCAAAGATGATCTGACAGCAGGCCAGATGAAAGATGACGAAGTAACTCAAGGAAACAAGTGCCTCACAACAGATTAATAACAAAGTATTTAAAGTATAAGGGAACCCATGATTAAGCCAAATTAATACAGATTTCATAATTTTGTAATTTATACCCAAAAAGAAACTGAAGTTTTGCACTTACAAAACAAATTCTTGCATAAAATGCAGAAAACTTGTTTATATTAATATGCCTACAACAATGGCCTCAAGAGTACAGACAAGACTAGCACACTGTGCAAATGGAAAAAAATTAGGCCCAAACCAGAAGCAACTACTTTTGTTTGCCTTGTCATTTTAATAAAATACCTTCAGATTTGCTTAAAATGGAATTTTTCCCATTCTACAACACTGTTTCATAAGGGGCATTGCTCAAAAAACTGAGTGAAGGATGCCTTGGCAGGCATACCACATGGCAAAAACCCCCGAACAACTTCCTCCATACCCAACCCTGAAAAACTACTTACATGTACCCACTCATTCACTTACTGCTTTTAAGAAGTTAAGCATTTTCAGACCTCAGTAATTCACAATATCTGTTCTGAAACATAAATTGTAGTTGCTATCTCTACACATCGTGGTTTTCAGATAAAGCAGTAGACATGCCCACAGTTTTAATTTGATCTAGAAACTCCAATTAACATCTACAATCAGAAGGCAAGAAATCATAGTATACCTCCCTCAGTTTAAAAGATGCATCTGTTGGGATCACAAAAGCTTAACCAGTTTTTAGTAATGTATCATGCAACACGTTATGGGTTTTCTTCTAATTTAACTTGCCAGTCTAAAGTAAGCTGGTTTTAAAGCAGTAACACTACTGTATAAATAAGCAGCAGCTTGTAAAATCTAAGGCTTGAAGTGTCTTCTACTATAGATTTTTAGATTTATCTTAATTGCATTACATTATTTATCCTGTGCGCATGGCAGAGATACTCGACTGTTCATGCCTAAGATACTTGCCAGCAGTAGGAACTCACTACTGGACTTAAGCAAGTCTTTTGCTCCTGGGTCCATACTCTATGAACAGAGGGCCATAGTAACATATGGCTAAGGGGTGAAAGCACTTACATAAACAGACAACACTCCAATTTTGTAAGCTCTTGTATTAGCACTCCTTTTAAAGACTTAAACCACTTCCCTTATCTGCAGCAATTCATCTGCTCTAGAGGAAAAACTTAATTTCTAAAATTATTAATTTCTTTCCCCTTTTACCAAGTGAAGAGCACATCTCACTAAAACAGTACCACCAAGTCTGGAGCTTTTGTACTTCATTCAGATTAACAGGGCAGAAAACTGACCGCAGTGAGGTAAACTGCTAACCTGAGTAGGATATTTAGTTACCTAAATTTGGAAGCCAGGTTCTTGCTCTGTATCTTTAGGTTCTGTTTGTAACAAAACCACTGAAAACAGTAAACTGCAGAATTTACTTCGAATTATTAGCAATTGTTTATCTAACCTCAACAAGCATGGCAATAATCACTGATGTCAAAAATGGAGAGAGGAAGGAGAAACAAGTCCATGTCAGCCAGTTTTTCTCAACCAAAGATAAAAATCAAGGCTTATTTATTCATTTTAAAAATCACCAAAACCTCTCAGCAAACCTTCCAAGCAACATTATCTGTTATAGAACAGTTGGGGTTGGAAAGGACCTTAAGATCATCTAGTTTCAACCCCCCTGCCATAGGCAGGGGCAGCACACACCAGACCCTGTCACCCAAGACTACATCCAACCTGGTCTTGAACACTGCCAGGGATAGAGCATTTATCACTTCTTTGGGCAACCTGTTCAAGTGCCTCACCACACTCACAGTAAGGAACTTAGGTACACAGATAGTCAGTTACTGCTAGAAACTGGGTTGTGTCCTAAGCAAGCAACAGAGCATTAAGGGTGACCTGACTAAAATACTGAAGGAATTTGTAAAGTCAGCACCTTTGGCAGAAATGGACTGCAGACCCAGCAACACAAAACTCAAAATCCCATCCCCCCGAGCACACAGCTGTAGCAATGAGTTGACAGGAAGTCCCATATTAAACAGTAAATTCACATCTTAAGGTTTATTCTCTCAAAGCTAAAAACTTGCACAGCACATGAACAAAAGCCTGTTCTGAATAATTCCTTCAGGCTGGTTTATTTGAAATGCAGTATACAGTCTCATCTAGACCCTGACCAAACATAAGTAGCATAGCAAGTAGCTGGATAAAAGTTTAACTCCATACACTGGAAATCAAGTCAAATGATTACATCTTGTCTCCTTATTGGTGATTACAGTCTATATGTGCCTGAAATCGCAGTTTTAGAGAGCAGCACTAGCGCACTGAGTGTTAAGTGTCACTGAGGACAGTCACATAAGAATGCTTAGGGTAATTCGTAAGTTAAAACTAGGCTAAAGCATCTAAAAACAAGTTTCCTGAACTTCAGCAGTTATATTGCATGGTAACCTTATTCAAATCAATTTATTCTTACATTACAGGATGACAAAGCAAAACAAAACCTCACAGTGGCAAGTAACTTCAGTTTGTTCCATGTACAGGGAAAAACAAAGAGGTATCAAAAAAACAAAGACCAATTTCCAGCTGGATCTTCTGTCCCACTAAGGGTGGAGGGGGAAGCAGGGACTATTGAAGAAAAAAAATAACTGTTCAATTAACTGAGAAGTTGACCACATTACTCAGCCATGGTACACTCACTTTAGAATTTCTGCATGCATATTTGATTTTTACCATCACTATAAACATTAAAGTAACCTCAAAGATTGTTAAAAAGGAAGATAAGACCACTACTGATGACAGTTGAAGGAGCACTGTGGTTCAGTGAGCATTGTGCTTGCAAAGCCACTGCCTCACTTCCAGGCTGTCACGCAGCTCCCAGTTTCAAGCTGTATTCCAAAAACATGGGCTCTATGTAGCCAAGCCATTCAATTTGGAGAGGCTTAATAAAGGTCATGCCACATATACAAACTGATGGGCAGGACAGTATTTAAGCCAGAGCACAAGATTATGTTCCACCTCAGTTCAGGCCACATCCTTCTCACTTTCACTTATTCAGGCTTTTTCCAGTTTAGGAAATAAGATCAAGTATTCACAAAAAGTTATTAGAAGAGTTGACTGCAAGCCAGTAAGTTTTGGCTGGCTATTCTGCACAGAAGACATACTTTTTATAGCCTTACAGACCTTGTATATGATTGCTCTTAGTCTCCAAGACGAGTACCTGAGCAAACAGATCTCCAGCCGCAACATTATCCAAGGTGCTTATGAACGATTACTTCATATTTAGCAGTTTGCCAGGCTTCAGACTCCACTGTGCTGCCTACTGCCTTCATTAAGCAAAGTAAATTTAGTCTGCAGTGCACTATTATCATTAATTACCATCGTGTTTAACAAAGACAGACTGGAGAAAACCAAGAGTCATCCAGCTTTTCAGAGATCCAATTACTATTCTTAAATCTCCCAGTAATCCAGACTATAGTCAGAGCTTCAGTACTGCAAGAATAAAACCTCCGCATGTCAGTTTGGAGTTCTGCATTACAATCCACTGAAGAATGAGAAAACACAAGTCTCAGAAAGGAATTTGATTCCATCAATTTGAAGAGAACATTGACATATCTTAATACTAACTTGGCAGCAGGGTTGCAAGAGACTAAGCAAGTCCTTCAAGGTTAGAATTAATGCGCTGCTTGAGGCTCACTTATTGACCTGCTCCATCAGGATTAACTTGTTGCTATACTAACTATAGACTGTCTAAGCCAAGTTTGAGGCACAAAGCACTTCCATGCTGATTAACTAGAACTGCTAAGAGTTCTTAGCTTTCATACAAACCATTTAAAGTCTGGTATATTTCTGACCCAAAGGAATAAAGAAGCATTTTTCTACACACAAGTACTGAGCACCACAGATTTCTGCAGGCAAATTCTTGAGACAGGTATACAGACAACATTTAAAGTAAAAAAAAAAAAAGACAACATTTAAAGTAAAAAAAACCAAACAACTGCTTCACAAAAGTTTGTGTTGCCATTACTCATCTGGCTCCAATCTGCTTATGGACCCCACTCAATTCATTTGTTTTGAATTTATGCAGAGGTTAGAGCTGTTACTTATGTCACCTCTTAGTCTTACTTGAATTGTAGCCATATGACAATCTTATGATTACAGATACGCCATTAGCAGTGTGAAGAACTGCAAAGCATGTTGGGTAGAAGGCTCTATTAGCATAAGGAAAAGCTTGCCACCATTTTGTCATGCTTCTTGAAGGCAAGTAGCAGTGTCAGTTCCTATTTGTGGCGCTACCATTTGTGTAGCAGAACACATCTCTCTGTTCACATTCAATTACTGAGTAGGCCTTGAAGAAAGGCCAAGTCTAGTTTTCTGTTTAGGACAGCAGTAATACAAATACTGCCAAGGTTAAGAGCAGCTAGCTTCTCCTCTGAACTCTGTAGTGGCTAGGAACATCTACTTAAGAACACAGTTATTACACAAAAGGTAAATTCTCAAAGATGTTGTCAGATGTTTTCCTGCAGAGCTGTAAACCTTTGTTTTCCAAACAGAAGATTTTTTTCCATTTTATTATGTTTTCATTAGCCTCTATATTAGAAGCATCCAAGCTGATTGGCTAAGTTGGGTGGGAGAGAGTCAAACTGCTACTACCTTCCTTTAGGCAAAATTCATCGATAAGTTTCATAATTAGCTTGATTCAAAGCTATACTTCTTAAAAGGCAACTCCAGGCTGTTCCTTAGCACTGCTCTCCTCCTGGCATACATATTCATACTACTACTTTGTACTGCTGCAGATCAGTTAGAGAGCCAAATAGACAAAGCAAGATTGGTTTATTTAATATCCAAAGAGTAAATCATACCAGCTTTACTACAGTGATAATGCCAGCAGAACACATGACCAGGTAAAGAGCAAGCTCATCACATTCACCATCCAAAGACACTCTTAGTGTCAGAAAGCAATCAAATTACCCATTCCCCTTTCCTATTGCTAAAACAGCTTATAAGCATTATGATAGAAGTGCACTGCATTGTTAAACCTGCTGTTGGGGAACAGAGAAAGAAACTGGTTAAAAGAGACAGACTGAACAGCCGCATCTCTACAGTAAGAGTGGTGCGAATACTTACAGGAAAACATTCACATGAAAGTAATCAGCACATCCTTTCCTGCCTTTGGAAAGAGCTTCTACAGTACTTAAAACTCGTATCAGTTAATTATCCTGCCAGCAGGACAGATACTCATGCTACAGCTCTAGCGTATAGATTAGCCTTTTGCTATGCAGATGATTAGCTTCATGAAGCAAAACATCAAATCCATCCTCCACTTCTTCCTCATCTCTCAGCTGGTTATTCAGCACAGCAGGAAAGGGTCACAAGAGAGGCAGGTTACATAGCAATACATTAGAGTGATCTGTTTGCTGTATGCCTGCCCTCACATAATGTGAGTCTTTAGCCT